ATGGGGGGGGGGAACAAAGTGATAGAGAGAGAGAGAGAGAGAGAGAGAGAGAGAGAGAGAGAGAGAGAGAGAGAGAGAGAATACCTGATGTGTTCCTGAAATATCTATACAGTATTCTTACTTTTCAATGTAGGCCTACCCTTAGTTAAAGCTGGTGCAACTGCATGTTATGATGTTGTGACAGGGGGATGTTGACTTTCCGTATTTATTATATATTACTAAGATTCCCGAAGTAGAGTGCATGCTATCCTTTAAAATTTCTCAGAAAAGAAGATCAAAGTTGTTATAAATAATTTTCATCCGTATTGACTGAGTTCAGATTATAGGAAGCAAGTTTAGCAATTTGCTTTTACTTTGCTTGTCATGGCCATGCTGAGCTATATTGTATACTACCTCCTAGTAGAAAAATGAATGGATATTAAACACGTGATTTCCGTGTACAAAATGAAAAACGTAACCATTATACCACAAGAACAGATATAAAAGTACAAACGAAAAGAGCAAAAACACTTGAAGTTAACTTCTCCTTCACTCTTCAGATGGACCACCGACAATTAAGGGAGACAATCGTTTAGGACATTTCACCTCTGTTTCAAGAACACAGTTTCAAGGCGACTGGGCCCCCAAAGTGCCCATTTTACCTGTGGTGAGATTTGATAACTTATATTAGTGCATGTATGTCAATCTTTTCTACGTACAGTCTTTACTTTGATTTTCCACTTTTAGTATTGTTCCCTATACATGTACTTTCAAAACAAAGTAAGCTTATAAAATTGAAAGTTTGCTTGTGCTGTAAACTAATTAACGTTTTGTAGGTATATTTAATTACTGAATGTAAAGCTTTTTATAAAAGTAAAAGATGTAGTTGAAGGTTAGAGATGTATATTTGCGAACTTATTTCAGAATGACTAATAAGTGTAATTTCCTCCTCTGGTTTTCATTTTCATGAAGCCACCGAGTTACAACGTTCCAGTTGGGGATCCTGACAAAGAGAAGACAAAGTGGTCTGTGATGCAAAGCTCCTACGATGACTACACTGATGCTCTGAAAAGCCATACTCCTTTTGATACACAAGGAGTCAGCAGCAAACTAAGAAAAACGAACTACAAAGAAAGAGATGGACATGGGGTCTGGGATAGCTATGAGACAACAATGACATCAGCCTTCCCTGCAAAGACTGTGGATTGTAAGTGTTTTTCTGCTCTGAATTATAATTTAGATGTTACTAACTTGTTCTGTCATTTTTTTTCTATTATCTAAAAACACATAGATTTATTATAAATTTTGATTTTTTTGCTTGTGCATTTATTGTAGTTGAAATCTCAAAATTAGTTTTCAGATAGTCTTTCCAAAAGTTTGTATGTATATTCTCTTATTAACTACCGGTACTTTCTGTGTGTTATACAGTGTGGTGAAACACGTATCCCAAAATAGTAAACAAGAAAGTAATATCTTGTAAACATACTCAAAATAATTTCTAGAATTGTCCCCGTCGTTTTAGTTTTATGCAAGAAAAATTCTGAAATTATGCAAACTGAGCCCAAAAATGTGAAATTATGCGATTCTGTTAATTTTAACAAAGAATGATAAAGGAAAATACTAAAAAATTACGCAAAAACTGATTAAATTTTGCTAAATTATGCGGGTTGCATAAAACCACGGGGAAAGCTAGAAGAATACTAGTAAATTGAGATCCAAAACGTTATTGCTGCATCATATATTGTTACTGTTTCAGTGTCGAGATCATCACCATCGAAGCACAGAAATGAGAGTGACTTTCCCCCTGGAGACCGTGAGGCCATCAGAGATAAAGAGAGAATGAGTCTCACCACAAGCCGATTTTACCATGGAAGTGTAAGATTGTGTATAAATCGTTACTTTTAATTTTTAAAATGTATAATAAATTTTTGCTTCAAAATAAGATTAAAGCAACACTTTGCTATAGACTTGAATCACAAAATCAGCGTAACAAAGTAAACCTCTTATTACTCTCTTAGTAACAATTCCAGCTAAAGAGATTCAAGAGGTGCACTATGTTTTAGTAAGAGTTTTACGGCAATTGCAACATAATAAAGTCATATAAGTGCCAAAGATTAGAGAAGTGTTACAAGAGAGTAGCAAACTCAGAAAAGGAGGAGAGGTAAGGACGATAGATGAGCGATAGGAAAGAAGGAGTAAACCCCACCAGAGCACCCATCAACCACCTGCAGGAAGTGTACCTGTATACATGTATTTAGAGTAAAATGATGTTAACATCATCATTGTCATCACTGCCTTTCTCCCCCTGAGTCAGGGCATTGGTCATGAACGAACACTTTCCATTTTTCCCTATCCTGGGCTAGCATCTTGATGTTAATCCACGTCTTCCCATTTTTCTGTACATCAATTTCTGTGACTCTTCTCCATATGGTCCATCTCTTGATCTTTTACCATTTTAACATTTATGAATTGATACTTTTATCTTCAAAAATTCATGCATGAACATTTATTTTTATACAGCCAGCACTAGGCCTTCACAACAGGATTGTATCTGGAGCAAACAGACGAACACAAAGCAACGTGTGGTTTGGGGATCCAGACCTGGACAAACGTTACTACAGTACCTCCACCAAGGAAGTTTTCCAGCCGAAAAGGGTGCCCTACTCATATGACCGACAAAGCCACTACATCCCAAGCTCAATTCCAATTGATTACTGCAGTAAGCATGCACAGTTTAATGACAACATAGGCTACATTATGTCTTTGTCTCAAAAGAAATGAGTAATTTCAATTTTTTTATTACTCACCTGGTAGGCCTTCATTATTATTATTATTATTATTATATATATATATGGGTTTCTCTAGGTTTAAGTGTATGGGTGTGATCCACCCATGTTGTCAGGAATCAGATAAAATCATTTTTTACTATATGTGGACTATACGGGTGTGATCCACCCATGTTGTCAGGAATGTGATGGGAAATATGTTGTCAGGGATAGGGTTAAAGTCAGGTCAATTATTGAACCTCTGATTTTTCGTACCCGTAAAAAAATGGTTTAAAGTTTGGTTTATTTGCCTTTATACTATAACTTTTTGTACCCCAGTACCACAAGCCTGAATTTCCTTGTTCTTTTCCTACTGAACACTTACATGTGTGTTCTGTGCACAAAAGGGTTAAGGACACACACTCAATGGTACATTGAGGTCCATACGGTAAGCAAAATTCTTTTTAGAAAAAAAAAGAAAATCAAGTGACTCTTGCACTTTTCCAAACCCAAAGGTTTTCCTTTGACGTTTTTATGAGAAATTGTAATTATAAAACGAAAAGGTCTTCTGTTATCAACTTCAGTCAGATACTGATCAATTGAGGATCAGGTTTTTTTATCAACTCTATTTTCTTCAAAATACAGTCAAACTTACTCTAATGGGCACCTCTACAAGACAATCACCTGTACAAACGACCCCTTCCCATTTTCCCTCTTGTGTTTTTATTACATAATAATACTGACACTGTGTAAGACGCTCTTCTGTCTTAGACAGCCAATTTTCTCCTTGAAAATGAGTGACTGCCCTAGTCAATTTTGATTGTATTACTACACTGACTGAATGAGGCACTGAACAACCCTTTTCTAAAGCCGAACCCTAGATTCCCCAACAGAAAGCTAATATAAAACATTTAACCCTTTGGACTTGAACCAAATCCCTCTTCAAAAGCACTGAACCATGACGGTGGTGAGACTTGAAAACTCCCATGAATACCTAATGTCAAGAATGCTCCTTTAGAGATTCAAACCAGTGCCATCCACACCGTAGTCCAGCATGATACCACAAAAGAGCTAACAGGAATACCAAAACAAATTTCTGAGAAGGCCACGTTAAGTTGAAAGGTTGTTACATTCTGAGTTGCACACATAAGTATTTGCATCTGAATCACTGTTCTCATAAATTCGTCGTCTTATTGTTATCAATCACAGGAAACAGCATGACCTATGAAGCTACCACCTCAACCGACTTTCCAGATCCAAGGCAAGAAAGGATGGTTCCAAATGCCAAGGCTCTGGAAAGTGTAAGAAAAACAAATCTTTTTTTACCCAAGCTTTCTTCACTTTTCCATTGGATACTTTTGTTTTGCAGTTTCAAACAATTTGATAGAAACTCTGCTTGGATTAAGAAATAATGTAATGCTGGAAGAAGTGTTCTGGGCTGGGTGCCAAGGCAGACCAAGATGTTAGGAAAACTGAATGAAACCCTATGTTGGCTTTTCAGTATTTTACAAGTATTGATTTCTTTATTTTACTCTTTTACCATTTTTTTGCATCTAATTTTTACGCTGATACTTCAGATATAAGAACAAAGATTAGTACAAAGCTGTGCCAGAGCAGGCTGAGGTGGATATAAAGTCTGCTTCCCCACCATACAGCTTGGGTGTTACTCAGGTGCCACAATTTTGTCAAAAAGATTGTAATCATATTAGGCCTACAAATATAATGTGCTTTCACATTTCCAAGTTATGAAAAATAAATTATTGCTATTATAATATTGTATAGGAAAAGACCTGAAATAAGGACGTTTCTTTAATCTATTTTCAAAACTGTGACAAGTGGCATAGGTCAATATGGCAGTGCGGTAATGATGTACCTCTTGAAGGTAGAATGCTGTACATGATGCATTGTGTATTGCAGCAAACCATTTCGAAAGTCTACTACTAATACTATGAGACTTAGTAACGTTTTATTTGTTTTGTATCTTCTAGCTTCAAAGTTCCCACATCAAGCCACCCCAGAAGCATATGACATTCAATACGACCCATCAAGATGAGTTCGTCCCGAAACCGCTACAGAATTTTGTCTACGACTCTGGACGACTGCAGCGTAGTTCTGTCCCACTGGGAACTATGGCTATCTGATGAAGGAGTCAGTAATACACCGTCTTATGACCAGTACTTGATACTTTCGAATTGTAGACTGTCCACAAAAGAAAAATTCTATTCGATAGATTGTGGTACAAAACTGTCAAGTCATAGCTGGCTCCATAGTTGAAGTTGAAACAAAATAAAAATAAAAATCTACAGCTACGTACTACCCTTGATGTATGCAAAGAGGACACGCACCTAGAAAGATACAAGGGGTTTCAACACCTCTTCACATTAACTTTTGCATCCAGATTTCAGAATTACCACCACACAGCAATTTATTGCTCATATTACATCCCTTTAAACTAAAATAAAACTTTCCAAATAGTTGACTACGTGCCTCTGTATGCAAATAAAAGATTAAGTGCTATTTGACTTACTTGGTTGTTTACAGTATTATTATAGTTATGGGCCTACTCATATTTTTAAAAAAATATAAAATAAGGCCAACTAGTATTACTGTGAAATGTGTATTGCATTGAGCACTTTCCAAGTGGAATGATTTCTATATTATTAGGGAGCAACTATTCTTTATTCACTTATTTTTATCATGTTGAATCTCTCAGAATTGTATCTGAAGGCGTCCATTACATTGTACTTTGTGAAGCCATTTTGCTTTGAATACTCCTTTATATGTGTAAATATTATATAATTATATATGTATGCAAAGTCAGTATTATTATCAAGATTTTCAGCTGATTTTCAGATAAGCTACCAAAAAAAAAGTCATATTCTATATTATATGTGGTATTATGTCATTTCTCAATACTCAAAGCACAGGAAACTGACAGTTATTATGTCATTATGATATTACGAGTTTAAAGACAGTATTTTCCTGGTGGAAGCACTAAAGAGAATAACAAAATGGCATGGAGAGCTCCACTGATTCAAGCCAATGATATGACTTTGATATAATTCATTGCATAATTTAAAAGAAGTACTTTTACAAAAATATAGCATTTGTTAATGTTATACCATTAGTATTCGTCTTACTTTTAGACAAAAGTCTGGATAACTGTGGTTTACAGTCAAAATGTAACTAAATAGGGCTTCATTGGCATTAATGTGTGCACAAATCATTTTCAGTTTGTTCACAATAGGTGTAATATAAATGCGAACAGTAAATTTTTATGTCAAGTAAAATAATTCTGAGGCATCGTGGCGAAATCAGGTGCTCGTCAAAATAATAAGATCGGAGAATCAGGTATTTTTCCACGAGTTTGGACATTTTATTCGAAATTTTAATTAAATATCGCTTAACCTCTTTTATGTCCATATAAAAACACATTTCCATGAGCATTTTACTGAAAAACATAGATTAAAGGCACAAAATATGTCATTTTATAGTTTTCAAAGAAACTTTAGCTATTGAAGTTACCAAACTTTGGCGGTTATTTTCTCGCTAATTTCACCACTGAAACCAGGCGACCTGACTGCCTTCAATTTCAAATATCTTGAGTTCTATTCAAGAGAAATGGATGTTTATTTCATTAGAATCAAGGCAAATAAATCAGCCTTCCGACGATACCAATAACTCCACATGTTCAAAAACTGACGAACGCCTGATTCCATTGCGTCATGACACAATTGTCTCAAAAGTTTAATTTTTGTGATGTTTGCCAACCATACTTGCCAACGATAGTCAAACGTTGATGTACATGATGTTTACATTATAATATATAGGCCTATGACCAGTATTATCACCTGCAGTGCTGTGGTGTTTGTGATTTTGCAACACAAGAGTGATATTTATATCTTTTACAATATATATATTTTATGGAGATTATGTACTTCATATCACAATGTTTTTCTTGTCATCACTATCACCATGAATCTGAGTGAGCTTGTTCTTGCCATATTATTTTTTGTTGTGCAATAAAAACTATGAAAAAACATAAAAGAACGACTGATCACTCCTGTTTTTCTTTGTGTGCTCCATGAAAATGAGACCTCACAAAATTTTATGTATATATTTTCAGTGTCTCCAGACAAAAAAAAAGAACTCAGTCTTTCCTTGTTTTACTACAGGGGGAGTAAAAAAAATAAAAAAATGAAGTTACCTAGTAGCCTACTCATTTTTCAGACTACAGCAGGGATATTGATTACCGAACGCAAGAAGTGACTATGCTATATATCCACTTTTGATCGAAATGGAACAATCAATTTGGGTAGTGAGATTTTAATCTGCTCTTTTACCTCTGTAAATATCTACGCTCAATTCGGTATTGGGATATTAGATCTAACACTTCTTTTTTTTACTATGTTATAGAGATGTCAAAATCATCAAAATTTCAAACTCTTTCTTGAAACTAAAAAGTGGATATCTAGTCACTTCTTGTGTTCAGCTGTCGATATGCTGATTTAAATAGTAATAGTGTAGCTATAGGAAAAACACTGTGTAATATAATTTCAACGGGGTTGTATTGTACTTAGCAAGAAATTAAGAGAGAAAAATATCAGAATAAGAGAGAGATCAGACACAATATCTCAATTCTAAAATAACAATGCTAAATCTACTTGTACATGTAAACAAAGATGAAAACTTCATGAATGAAAACCACCAAGCAAGAGGAACTGTGTTAAATACAAAATATTTAATTCCCAATTCTAACGAAAGATGTGAACCATTTGTTACAATTGAAAATTATCAAACACGAAGCAAAATTACATGTATACTATGTAACAACAGTCTCCTCATTCATTCAATTTTACTCAAAACTCAAAGCAGGACAACTGACAATATTTGTTATGTCCAGGACAAAGCAACATTTCAAATACCGTTTGCAAGAGACAAACATAGAATCTAGATTTTTATGAGTCTATGGAAGTTTTAGGAAATTTTGGGATAACTACACTTTATACTTCATGTGATGGCAAGAGTGTTTCTTTTAAATCTTTTTAAACAACAGTTTCTCAGAGGGTATTCCAACATCATAGATCTATACCAGAAAAACTGAGCCTCAATATCTGTCTGTCGAAAAATATGTTTGAAGTCCATGAAATGGGATCCACAAATGCACTGACTACGAAACACACTTCATTAAAAACACACCTAAAGAACTAAGACTGTAAGCTCATCGTTTCATCTTGTCCCACAAGAAGTCGTCCTGGTCTTTCGGGCTCATGTGAGTGATGATTTCCTCCAGTGAAGCTCTCTTGAAGCGGTCGCGGACGTTGTGGTACACAGGCTCTCCCCACAGGGTGCCCGTCTCCCAGCCCTTCACGTCCTTCATCAGCTCGTTCTCCTCATCTCTGTTCTTCCTTATATGCTTCAGGAAACTTGGGAAAGATAAAAGAGTAGAACAACCACTCAGCACACAAGTTCTATTGAAGAAAAAAAGGCTTGGCATCATAGATTTTTTTGTTTAAGTAAGTGCTTTACAGCACTTGCAACACTATTAGGTTATACAGGTGCCAAACATTAGAAGTACTACAAGAGAGTAACAAACACAAGAATAGGAGGACAGACAAAAACGATAGATGTTTGATAAAAAAGAAGGAGCAAACCACATAACAGCACCTGCCATCATAGTTTTTCATGGTCATATATTAATTTAATGAGGTAAAGAAAAAAGAAAAATAATACAAAATTGACAGAAAGATTATACTACAAAAAGATACACGCAGCATCAAAACTTTCAGTAAAACACATGACAACTACATTCAAACCCGCTTTAATTGCCACCTGTCCGAGAAAATCACCTGTACAAATAAAGACTTCCTACTTTCCTCATGTAACTTTTTGTAGATTATAATGACACTGTCCAAGATGTCCCTGTCTAAGACAACCACTTTTCTGCTCAGCAACGGGTAGCTGTCTTACTTCAATGATTTTGATTGTACTCGGTTCAATCCTCCATCTCCACCAAAAGAGGAATGCTTATCCTGGAATTTGAATTAAACAAAAGGACAGGGGGCTCTTGTGGTCAAGAGGTACACTGTTCACCTCTCATTTGCGGGTTAAAAACCTGATAGCGGCGGAAAATTTTTTTCTATAAAATTTTCTCCTTTCCCGTCCTGTTCTCCAGTCATGTTGCTTCATCTGCTTTCATCTCCACTTTTTGCTTCCCCTCATCCCCCCCCTCCCCACTACTTTCCCCTCTCCTTTGGGCTCCTGACTCTTTCTACTGCTACTCTTGTTCCCTTCTTAATGCTGTCTCTCAGCCACACCCCTGATCTTAGGATAGGTAAGATCAAGCACCTTCTTGGATAACAGTAACAAAAACCTCAGAGGTACCTTGTGCAAGATGGGCACATTAAAAGATCCCTCGGTTATCCTTAAAACGACAAGAGTAAGCTTCTGCCGCCACCTGGGCAAAATTCAAAATTAGTTCCTAACCAAAACAGAAAATTGACAACTTAATGTGCAAACTGCGCGCTCTTATGACCTCACGCAGTTGCGAGAGCTGTAAAACTCTTACCAAACTAAACTAAAAGAAAAGAACTTCAGCACAAATGCCCATTAAAGTACATCTAAACTCAGGAGGATCTATTTCATTGGGAACAAAGTTTCACATTGTTAGAAAAATTTAATAAAGGAAGCCCATTACAGCAGAAAAAATAACTCTGAAATATTAATTGCTTTCTTAAGTGTGGGGTTTCAGAGTCCTTCGTCAATGAACATAAGGTTTACTGCACCCACAACTGTGATTTAGAATATCATATAATGAAAAAAAAAAACACATTTATTATCTCTTAAACCTTCAAGCTTAACCCTATCCGTACGTCGTGTTTTACTATCGTATCCATACGACGTGGGGAACTCAGGGCACCACTTTCCAAAGAGGAAATTTACTAGTTAATCCGATCCATACGCTTTGCATAGCAGTCTGTCAGAATGACTTTTTGAGAAATACTGAAAGTTTCAAAGAGATATTCGCACTAGAAGTATTCTAAATTGTGGAGAATACAATCCCGGGGGTACAAAATGACCCCGCCCAGGGCGTACGGATAGGGTTAAACCCTTTACACTCATTTATGCAATAATAAATCTTAGGTTATTTTGCCAAACAGTGGCGTCCAAAAGAAACTTAAAAATGTATTCACCCAATTATTGTGTTAAAGCTTTTCACTATCCACTCATTCAGCTTACCAACTAAAGAAAAATAATTCTGCATCATCTGGCACACTAACTTTTCATCTACGACCGGAGTCATCAGGGACATGGCAACTCACAACTGATCTTAGAAAATCATGCTTGGCAAAATTGTGTGAAATCAAAGAAACGTAAAATTGTGTTTGCGCTTGTATTAGTGTCTTAATATTAGTGGAATGGACATGTATTGTATATGAGATGAATGGAGAATATTATTCTCTCTGCAGCGAACATCGTTTAATTATGATATTTTCAGACAGATAGGAAAACTGAGCAGTCACAAATATCACGCAAAACTTCAACTTAATGTTAAATGTGCTCATTTGTGTTTTGTGTACGAACCTTTTGTTTCGTGCATTAACTTTATTTGACCATGGACAGAGTTACATTTTGGATATTAGTCATCTGTCACTGAGGAACAAAGACCATGAAACTGCCATGATTTGGCGTGGCCTGGGTGGAATGATCAAAACTCCACTCATGAGAATCAACGGAAGGCTTCGTTTCGAGGACTACATCAAGCAAGTGCTGGAACGTCACGTCGTATCCTTATTTTCGTCATGGTGTCATTCAAGTAGACATCTTTATGCATGGACAAAGCACCTACTCACAGGGCCAACAGGCTTTAGCCGATTCTTAGAAAAGAAAATCATAACAAAGACAGAGTGGTCATTAGTAAATAGCCGCGATATGAATCCTACAGATATGTGGGGCCCCATTAAACAGCAGCTAAAGAAACGTGACTTTGCTCCCAGTTAAGATGCTTTTGTTTGCAACTCTCTGTGACATCTGAGTCTATGCCCAAAGGATTTTGTAACTGCTCTGTTTTACATTTTTAAGTTTCTTTTGGACGCTACAGTATATAGCACAGTATAGAAAACTCTAAGACTACAGCACATATTTCACAAAAACAAAATAAAGACATAAAAATCAAAAAAAAAAAACCCCACAAATGAAAAACTTAGGATGGAAGCGGGTTGCTTTTTGTTTGTTTTAGCAACAGTTTGAGAGCACTTGCAGCCCATAGATAATATATGTGCTGAAGATTAGAGAGAGAGTAACATACAAAAGGTAAATAAAAGAAGGAAGAAAGAAAAGAACATCAGATGTTTTGATAGGAAAGAATTAGCAGCACACCACCCACAGATGGAAGAATGAACCTATCACAAACCTCATAGAAGGAAGACATTTTAAAAAAAATACTTACGCACGATCTCTCTCTGCAAGGATAAAGGGCTCAATGGCAATGCGAGCATCTCTCAGTTCCAACGCTTCACGACTGAAACAGAAATGAATAACCTTAAAAAAAATGCAAGTAACAACAAAAAAAATTTGCATTCTCTAAATCTCAAACGACCAAGACTGAATAACACAAAGTAAAAGAATCATCGCAGCTGAAAAATGTCTCAAGAACCCACACAACACAACAAATGTTCCCAAAAAGGAAATCGGACAAAAATTTTGGAAAAAATGCTTCACGAACAAACTCTCAGCTTGACATATGCATAGCTCAACAGTCCCCATATACATTTATTCTTTTTAGCCACTAACCTCCTCACACAGTCTACGTGGGGTCAATCAAAATGTGAACTTTGGGCTAAAGGAATTTAACATCAGGTAGGCTACTTTACTTAAATACTTCACACAAGTCCATTAGAACTAAAATTACTCAGAATAAAACTGGTATATTTTTTTACACAGTATAAAAGAAAATGTAAGATACATTCTTTTTCCTTTTCATTATACTTAGATTACTTACAAATTGAAAAAGGCAAGAAAATAAATTTCAAAATTTTGCAAGTAAAAAGCATTGAAATCCTAAACTGTCATACTTTAACAAGAATCCAAACTACATTTTAACATTTAGCACTTACTCTCTCTTTGCTTTGTTTCTGGCAAATGCTACCCATGCAGCAGTAGTGAAGCCAACAAAGGCGAAAAATTGGGTGAAACCTGGGGAGAAATATTTTTGGGGGATTGAAAATCTGCACTCTTCTTTTTAATTACTTGAACAAAACTGACACAAAAGAGCGTGCTCAAAAAGTAATACATAAATTTTATTCCACAGTTTGTAAAGTGTCTTGGGTTTCGTAACATATAACCAGGCAAGGAAAAATAAATTTAATGAAAGTTTCATAATATAGTCATACATGATATGTTATTTGTGTATGCATTCATAATATGAGACTTAAAAGTTCAGACTAGATAGGCAAGACAGTGTGCTTCTAATGCTACGAATGAGAAAACTATTTCAACCAATAATCAACAAATAATTCAATCAGAATACTTATTTATTATTGGCTTTCCTGATCATTCGACATACAACTGCAAAACTCACTGGATAGGGCCTATAGCATAAACATTGGCAGATTAGACATTGGATTGAAGATCAAATCAAGAAATCAAATGCTGCCTGGGCCTGATATATTTTGAAAGATCTAGGTCAGAATCAGCGTATCAAAAATAAGCAAAATGACCCTCGAAGAAGCTTGTGCAGTTAAAGTTTCATTTTTTAATTGATTGTCAATGATGAACTTGAAGTTATGTGTGTCAAGATCACCCAATGTGTTGAACTGATGCTTAAGCTTCCACACACTGACAGAACAGTGTGACTGTGCAGTATGGAGACTAGGTCAAAAGACACTCTTCTTTTCTATAAAAAATAAAATATTATTTAAGACTAAGTTTACTAACAGAGAAACATTTTTAACAACACAACAAAGACCTGCTGTGTACAAAGAACTTTTTTGTTATTTTGCTAACAGTTTAAGTTAAAAAATTTATAATCCCAGCATTGCAATTTCAAATTTAAAGAAAAAAAAAGCACAAACAATCTCAGAGTCAGAGCAAACTCAAACATTCAAGATAGTCTAGTGTACTTAAAAAGGATGATACCTCAAAACCATAAGGCAAGACGTGATCTATTGTATGCTTTAAATTAAAATTAAAAGCCAGTCTTTTGTTAACGCAGTAAGCCTCTTTTATCTTTTTTCATATCTTTTGTTAATTAATAGAAGCACAAAGAGAGCTTGCAAAGAAACATTTCATAGGTGGCTTTCTAAGGAGGAGGATCTCCCCTTCGATTGTAACACAATTTAGAGAATTGCACGAAGATAGATTCTACACAAGAAATTATAAAAACACAGAATTACCCAATTTGATAAAACGGACAGTTCTCGTACGTCATGAAAGAATTTGACAATTTCCTTGAGTAACTAAGGCTCAAGTCTAACAACCAGTTCCAATTTAAACCGATCGCCTAACTCGTGGCTGAAAAAAAACGCGTTGTTTTTTAGATCGCGAGTCGGGCGATCGGTTTGTGCCATGAATGTGATGTACAGCGAGCACCTAGCACACCTCTGTGATTGGCCCAAATAGATCTAGATGACGTATTCCGCCATCTACTTTTGTCGTCTTCCGGGATTTCCCCCAAGACTCTCGGGATTCCCTCACCAGTAACTGTTGACTAGATCTCACCATGTTTGTTTGTTTTTTTTCTGTTTTAATTTGTATGTTTATAAACAATGTAGCAATGCCAAAGAAAATTTAATTTTTAGCTTGATCATTTTTTTATTTGGTACATAAGAAAGAGTTAAATTCAATTCTAAGAATTATGCTTTTTGAATTTTATATATATCGGTTCATAAATAAAAAAAGTTATGAGGTTGTAAAAGTCGGTAAAATATGGATAACCTACACATAGGAAAATCTTTTCTTTGCATTGGAAGTGGCTATTCTCACCCGGGGTGAGAATAGAAATACACGATCTACCTCTCACTCCGGGTGAGACTTGCCAGCGTAGGCTATTCTCACCCGGTGTGAAACAAGACCTGTTTTTCCTCATTTTGGAACACTGTCTATCGGTGTGGATGATAAAATTGATATAAAAGCCAAGAAAAAATTACGTTATAATAGCACAAAAGTTTACGCTAATTTGATCGTCTTCAAAGATGCTATGGATTTCACTTTTCGAATCGAGCCGAACTATGCGGGTCGCCATTTTGTTTTGCCCGGAAGTTCTCGCAAGATCTACTCCTCCCCGCTCTCTCTCTCTGTCTCTTTCTGAATACTGTCTATCGGTGTGGACGATCAAATTGACCAAAACAAAGTTAAAAAATGAT